GATGTATCAGAGCTGACTGTTAGAGCAGTTGTGAATCTCCTGGCAGGTGCTGGGAGAAGAGAAGGAGTTTCATTGAACAGGAAAGTACTATTGTGTTTGCAACAGCTGAACAAGTGGGAATAGGTTGAAAATAAAACTGGAAAAAAAAAAATCACTTTCTCTCATGGCACACTTATTTCAAAGTTGGCTTTCTTTCCCCCAGGACTTGTGTGGGGAAGGCAAACAGAGTATAGCTAATTTTGTTTCTTCTGGCTGCCCAGTAAAGCAAGTTTTAAAACTCTTTGAAGTAAGTCAAGGAAGACAAAGGTATACGTGAGTTAAAAATGGGATTAGGGGAATTCATGAAAGGTAGTTTCCATGGCGACTGTAAAGTACAACTTTCTAGATGTAGCTGCTCATTCAGGTTATTCCCTACAGCAGGAAAGTAGGAGGAATATGTCCTTTTCTTGCACCTTCCTAAACTGCTTGGTATGTGCTATGGTCAAGAACAGAGTCCAGTGTACTGGCATGACTATTCTTAGAGGTTAGAGGCATAAGGCCTTGGATTTTTTTCTCCAGTAATAGGACATACTTATTTAAATGTATATTTACATGTTCTGGGTTTTTTTTAAGAGGATACATAGAAAGAGCTAGCCAAATCTTACCATTCAGCTTCTGCTCTGCCTTGGGTAAGGAGATAATGCACAGATGCTTAGTAGGAACCTCTAGTGATCAGAGAAGTAAGATCTTTTGCTAATCAGAGTGTCATCTACTCTTTGAACTGATTTGCAAGTCTCAGGTAGAAATTAAGGTATGTATTTAGCATTGCACACTCTGCTTCCAAGATGGATCCAACTGATGTTTCAGTTTTGTTTTTCTAGATACAGCATGCCTTAGTGTTCTTTGCTGCTTTTGTGATGGTTTGTGTCTTTTAAAAATGGATCATAAGCAGCTTTATTGTGAAGTTTTTGACTTAATTGCATGTCAGAAAAGATAGATTTAATTTACTCTTGACTCACTTATCCCTGATAAGGATGATGTGTTTTGAGGTGTGTGGGTTTTTTTTTTTTTTTCATTCTGGTATAGATAGAGGACTGTTTGAATACAGTCTATTTAAGTTTTGTTTTCAGATAATTAGGGAAGAAGGAAATACTAGAATTTGCTTCTTACACAGGTTATTTTTCTGTAGCATCTTCATAGTTGGCAATCTCAGTCCTTCTTAGAATTAATTCATTAAGGCACATTTGAGGCTGACATTCCTAAGATTTGGCAGTATGTTAATTGTTTCTGAAAAAGTGGCCTGCACCTAATGAATTCTATCCTTCAGTTCTCCAAGAGACAAACAAATATCTGAATGTGCATGTAGGTCCATTCTCCAGTGTTCTTAAATTCTTCTGTTCTACTTTCCTGGAACATACTAAGGTAATACTGGGGAGATGGTGGGTTGAGGTATGTGAGAGAGAGAGAGAGAGAAAGATGGTACTAAAGAAAAATAGCTATCTAGCTGACTTTTCTTTATAAATTTAAAAATTCCTAAATATATGATTTTTGAAATTTAATATAGAGCTATTAGACGTCTAAAGCCCCTGGAACTTGTAATTTATCTTTATTGCTGATCTTGTTTGTGCATGAGTGTTCTTGATGGCACACACAGTCTTCGTCTTCTAGAATTCCAGCAACTGGTGAATGCTGCTATGAAATTTAGCTATGATATCTGCATTTTATATCTGTTTGCATGGCAAAATTTAAGTGGCTGAAGTCCCTGGATACATAAAATGTAAGTTTGTATGTTTGGTCAATTTATGGATTTGGTTCCCTAAAATATGTTTTCTCCTTGGAAGAAGATCTGAGAGTAAAGTACATTGGTCAGAAATGGGCACAAGTTCCCAAGCATCAAAGATCTTTGTGTTTCATAGCTCTTCCCAGCTGGATTTAAACCTAATTTGGCATATATATCATAGTTGACCTTAGACAGAATAATTCAGATGTTTGAACCTCTTAGATGTGTAGCCAAAAACGAGCTGTCTTGTTGCATGTATTTTTAAACATCTGCAAGCTGAACTGGAAAGCAGGATGCAAATGCTAGGACTTGAAGATACCTGTGAGGTTATGTGAATCCCTTTGGAACTAGGGGGAATCCTGGAGCCTATGACCATATGTTTTTCTAGCAATACTGTATTTAGAAGTTTAGTATATGCTTTAGTTTCTAGTAATTCAAGTACAAATGGCAATAGAAGAAGCTCATCAATAATTTAATAATAAATGTACAGCTGAGATAATATCTTTTGTTGTACTTTTTAATGCATATTCCATGAGGATTTGAGAAATTATTTTCTGCAGTTTCCATTTCTGCGGTGATATAGAAATAACTTGTGGTTCACGTATGCCACAAAAGTTTAATGCTGTAGCCAGTGAACACTAGCAAATTGTTCCTTTCAGTAGTTTTCTTTTACTCAATATAGATAAAAATACATAGAAGAATTAGAAGAATAGGTTTTGCAATAGAGTGCAGAGGAATTCCCAGGCCCCTTAGTTAGAAGTGGATAGGGGAATCATTCGCAAGTTGTGGTAATAGAGTGGGGATTGGTTGGGTGGTTTTAGGTTAGTACTTTGAAGCTATATGATTGATGTAAAGACATCCTGATTGTTTTAGCTTGATTGAATGTTCACAGAATCACAGAACAGTTGAGGTTGGAAGGGACCTCTGGAGATCATCTAGTCCAACCCCCCTCCTCAAGCAGGGTCACTTAGAGCAGGCTGCCTAGGACCCTGTCCAAATGGCTTTTGAACATCTCCAAGGATGGAGACTCCACAACCTCTCTGGGCAGCCTGTTCCAGTGCTCTGTCACCGCCGCAGTAAAGAAGTTTTTCATGTGCAGACTGAACTTCCTGTGTTTCAGTTTGTGCTCGTTGCCTCTTGTCCTAGAATGTTCTCTATATTATTAATGTATATGTATATGTCCTATTTTCAGTATGCAATAATATTTGCTTCGGGTATTCCATTTTTTTGATCAGATTTCTTTAAATGCACTATGGGGAAGCTTGCGTTTCAGCAGAATGTTATACATTCACCAGTTAACCTTTGAGGGAGAATTATATTTTCTAAAAATTGATTTTGAAGTACTTTAATTGTCTGCAACCATGGGTTTGGATCCAAGTTTGGGCTGTTTGGTCCTTCACCATTCTCAAGCAAATAGCATGAACTCCGTTAAGCTTTTTTTTGTAGAGGCCATTCTCATAAACACTTGATAATCTGGGATCCTGTCTGCTAAAGACAGATGTCGTTGTTCTTTTCATTCGTTCTTACAGTAAGCTCTTACTTTTGATCAAACTCCTGTATAGTCGTAGGCATGCAGCATACACCTCCCCCTTCCATCAGCCATCCTGAACAAAGTTGCGTTTCAGTGGTCAGTGAAATGACTTGTCTGTGCGGTGCTTCTTAAGCTGCGTTCTGATCTTTGAGGAGAAATGTTGCAATTTTTTTTGCATAATGTTGCTGGCATTGAGTAACACAAAAAAGATCACTCAAGGTAAGGAAAGGGAAGTGTGCGCTCATGTTTTAGATGATTTCCCGTCACGTGCTAAAACCATCAACACAAATTCAGTAGGTTCAAAACTTTTCTCTTCCCTCAGGCTTGCTCAGTCCAGTCTGTAAGATCCTTTAAAAGTCGTTGTCTTCCATGAGTGTAGGCAGCAAACTACAAAGGCCACTGCAAGTTTGTGATTTCAGTTAGCAGCCTCATACCAGATTTTCTGCCAGGGTGAATCCACAGATGAGGCCAAACATACTGTCATCTCACCTCAATAATCCCTTCTCTTCTGCAAATCTTAAAAACATAGAATAACAGTGTGTTAGCCTGGGAGAATAAGTTTTCTCAACCTTGAGTTTTAGCAGGAGAGCAGAGTGGATTGCTTGAGGAAGCAGTAGAGGTTGCTGCGTGCATGGTTTCATATAATAACGGGATTGTGTTTGCCTCAACATCTTCAGTAATAAGGCATGCAAGAGCTGCTTCTCTGCATAGTCCCCTCACTGATCTTATTTGGCTAGTCAGGATTTTAATATCCTGGCACTGAGACCTGTGCGGTATCTTCTGCAATCAGAGAAGGCTGTCCGTTATGAGAGGAGCTGTGGTTAAGATCTTTTTTCCTACCTGTACCGTGGAAATTAGCTATCTTTTTGTCCTGCATGCCTCAGCAAGTTGTTGGCCCTGAGTTTTGGAAGCTTCAGGTGGAACAAGAAGAGAGAAATAATTAAACTTTACTTCATAAAGCGGAATGTACAGAACAAGATCCAGAGAGGAATTGAAGTGCATTTCTGATCCCTGCAATCACAATATTTAGTGGTGGTGATTTGGGACATCAGAAACCAAGAGTAGGGAACGTCCATAGCTGGTGTAATTTCAACTGAAGGTGATATAATTTTCTGACTGTATAGATTATAACAGTTAGGTATACAATTGCCTGATCTAGAAGAGGTATGTTAGAGCTGCATCCTTACACACTCAAATACCTTTTAATGTATGTGGGAGTCATTTCACGTCTCAGTTTGAAAGATGCTAATAACTTACAGGGATGGACATCTTACATGGAAAGCACTGGGGAAGCAGCCCCTCTGCAACAGGCAGTCTTGAACTTAGAAACTGCTGCCTGAGTAGTGTTTCAGGAGAATGGAGGCAAGACGGAGTGATCTGCTACGGTTTGTTTTCAGAGAACAATAGTGACCTTTCTTCTCATAGTTGTGACACTTTTGATTAAGTCTGAAGTTCTTGGCAATGTCTCAGCAAAAGGTAAACTGTTTAGCATTCTGAAACGTAGAGATTGTTAAAGACCTAATTTGGCTATAAAGTGAAGAAAAGCTTAATTTACTACAAGTTTGAAAGGAAGTCATATTGTCTCTGGAAAAAATAGAGGACTATCGTGTCAAAGCTTTAATATGAGTATAAGTGTATTTGGCACAAAATAACTGAGCAGCAAAATTACCAGAAATTGTCTTTCTCTCATGTTGCGTTTTCACTCTGCAGATACTGCGAACATATTGAACCATCCATCGACCCTCCGTGCTGAGGCCTGTCAGTGCAGAATGGCTGCAGGGAGTCTTAGTCTGTTCCCCCGTCCCAGGAGAGCACTATGCAGAGTGGAGCAAATCCCTCCAGGATTTAACACAGGTGTGTGAAAAATGTGGGGAACATGACTCGTTATTGATTTTAAATCAGTGTTTGACATGTAGAGCGGGGAGAATATTCTGGTGACAGTCACCCTCAAGACATGCACTATTATACAAAATAAATGTCAGCGCTTGCCCTCCATAGAGCGCGCACTTTTCTAATGCGCACCATTGTTGTGGAGATTTTGAAGTGTTAAGTTATCTCCCTCTCCCTCCTGGCAGAGCGTTATTAATTAGTATGTCTTGAAATAATTATTTAAAAAAAATATATATTTTTTCTGCTCCCTGTTGATGTTCTGAAAAGCCTTACTTGGGAGTCTTAGAGCAACACTCAGGCTAGCAAGCAAGCACAGATGTTTAGGCTTGATCTGTTCTGCTGTCTCCTGTTGTCTGCTGCACCTTTCCATATCTCCTTCAGCCTCTCTGACTTTCTAGTAAAAGTCCAGTAGTTTCAGACATTAAGTACATGTGAGTTCCAATGAGGGAATGCTATTGTTGAACATATTAAGTTCTAATAAATAAAAGTCGGACCTCATATTTGGAGAAAAAAGAATTTCTGATAGTTCCAGTATTGTTCAGGTGCTCTGGTTTCTAAGCTAGTGGGTTGCGCTCACATTTTGAAGCTTTCATTTGCGGTTTTATTGTCAGCGAAAGGTGTATGCTTCATAGCTAGAGACTGAAATCCACTTTTCCTTTAGTCAAACAGATGCAAAACAAACAAACAAAACTTCCTCCCCTTCTCCCCAAAACACTTCCCCACTTTACTTTGTTAGAATATGAGGTTAGATGCTGAGGGAGCCCTCAACTTTGCGGAGGAAAGTCTTGTTCATTTTGTGTTAGTGTTCTGAGAATGACAAGTGTAAACTTTACTGTGTAGACGCTGTCCTCTGGCGAATGGAGAGAACCATCTAGTTAACCTTTTTATTGCATAAATATCTAATAGTGAAATAATTTGACTGTTGCTAATCTGAACCTGAAAACAGAACTGGAAGAGTCCACAGTGCACGAGCTTTCCACTGTGATGGAAATCACCCAGGCTGATGAGAGCTGTGCACCTTGTGCACGTAATTTGTATCTTCTGGGATGAGAACTTAACTTTCATGGCAACTTTTCAGGAGCCGTCTATTCTTTTTAGTGGTCTTTAATTTCTTACTAAGAGAAAATAAGAAAGCCTACTGTAAATGATCATGTGATAGGTTTTAGGAAAGAAACTGGTACATTCTTAAAAATAACCATACTTTTGGATGAAACTCCTTTCCTTAGGCTAGAGAGAGATTTAAGTTGGGTACTTCTCACTTATGGTTTTCTTTGTGTGTTGAGAACACAGAAGTATATTGGGCTGTGAGGATGTATTGTCTGTTTAACATTAGACGAGTCACTTAGTCTAGTAATTCTAAAGTAATAAGAAACAACAGACATATTAAATTAGCTAATTATAATAGATGAATTAATTTGGGACACTGAGTCATTTGCTTCAAATTAAGAGGAGTGGTCTCCTGGTCACTTTCCCAAGTTTTGGGCAGGTAATACAGTCAAGGATGAAGCAACATAGAAGCATAAGCAAGACGACATTCAAACTGTCCTTATTGACTGCTGTTGAATTCTTGTACGTTAAATTGTGTGACTTCTCAGTTGCTCTCTAATGACTACCTACCTTTCTTGGTGTATTTTGTTGCATAGGCTCACAGGATGACTGTACGGCTCCTTAACTGGTATCAGTAAAGGACTAGATAATGTTAGATTTCTATACTGAAATACCTGCACAATATGTAAAGAAAATGATTATACTTTTCGTGCTTGAAGAAATATATCACTGATTAGAAACTAAATTATTAAGGTACTGCAGAGCTTTTGATTGAAACTTTGTTAGCTCTTTATATTTCAGTCATAAAATAGTATTACAATACATTTCACAAAAAAAAAAAAGGCTTTTGACTATGTACCATTTTCAAAGTTCTTTGGATCACAAGTGCTTTCGTTTCTTCCCTAGTGGTCCTCCCAGTCCAAAAAATACATCTTACCATTCAGAGTAAGTTACTGTGTATATTTTTAACTGGATATTATGCTGAAAGTATTCTTTACTTATTTCTTTAGATTTAGGCTTTCTGTTACTGGCAAGAGACTTTCCAGGCACATGTGTAAATGGTATCCCAAGTTAACCGAACAGTATTTTACCATATTACTTATCCTATTGAACACACAAGATTTTTCAACAAGATAGGAAGTATATTTCAAGTTTCAGTTATATGAAGAGACTTATCAAATTTGTATTTAAAGCCATTCAAATGACTTCTTTTTCTAAGAAAAAAAAAATAGGGAAATTTAATGTTTTTTCACCAAGGAAAACAATACTGAGAATAGCAGAAACTGCTTACCTGGAATATAAAATAAGTGTTTTATATTGTGTTATTGTATTTTATATTATATTTACATGTATACGTCTTATATATAAACAGTATTTGCGTCTCCTCTGCTCTTAGGAGATGCAGAAACTATTTGTTTCAACACAAGCATATCAACAAAGGTTCTGTTCTCATGTTATGGATTATAGTTAGTTTACAGCTTGTGGGTGCTGCAAATTATTTTAAGATGCAGTAAGCCTATAATGTTATGTTGTGAATTTTTGTTGCTTGTTCCTATTGTGCAGGTAATGATTTTGGGGGTGGAGAGTGAAATGAAATTCCCCATTGAGTGGATAAACACCCATTTATAACTACTTCTCTAGGTGCCAAATTATAGACTAGTTGATAGTGAGAACCTCTATCAGTTTTTAGCCTTTGACTCTAGATGAGTGAGGTAATCACGTGACTCATATCGTCTCCAAAGAAAAAGCACCTCTTCAGCAAGAGTGGTTGAAAGACTATTGCTGCATTATTAATAAAAACAGAGACAACACAGAATCCCTGATGTCTCAGGATGATGAGGTGAGACTTTGAATAGTCCCATAGGAAAGAGTTTTATTTTATTTATTTTCTTCCAACAAGTTTTGCATTTCCTTTGTTGCCAGAGGCAGCTGTAATGCTTTCAAGTACGGAGCATAAAATGCAAATAGCAACTCTACAGTTGATAAGTGATTGGAAATGTTCAGTGCCATAGAATAGTAAACCTGCCTGGAATGTGTTATCTCGTGCATATCTACTTTGTGTTACTAGCTTTGACTAGTAAGGAACAACGTGCAGTGATGCTCACAATGTGCTAATGTCACAAATCTGGCAGTCCAGTATAGGCAAATCCTTATGGCAAACATTAAATAAGAACAATATTGCTTCAGTGAAAAAAGACACTACCTCTAATCAGTAACAGTGAACCTGGGATTGATAAGGGATATGTTTATCAGATGCTTGTTAATGATGTAATTTAACATTTAATAGGACTCACCTATGCTTAACGTGGACCATCATCCCTTGCGTATTGGTGGTAAAGGTTATGGTAGCAGCCCTGCCTTGGGGCTAGCAAGTTGAGCTGGTAATGTTTAACAAGAGCTGTGGAAGTGAGGACACTTAACCGGAGGACACCTAACCTAACCAAGTGAGATACAAAGAGAAAGCGAAATCTACTACACTTCCTTATGTTTCTTGCTTAGTGGAAACAGCTTTGTTCAGGTGTATGAACAAACGGTGTTAATTTTTGTGCCCTCTGATTTTGAATAGCATCTCAGAATGACAACCCAATAAATACTTCACTAATAAAATGATACATTTTAGAAACAATATACGTTGGATATAGAATGACGCAATAATAAGTCATGTGACAAAACTGAGTGCAATTTTAAAATTAATGAGTTTTTTTTTTCTTCAATTGATTTTAGGCTAGGCAGATGTTTGTTTTTATTGCCCATTCAACTATTTTATAAGTAACAAATTACTGAGGGACCGTTTTACTTTAAAATAACAGCAATATGTGTTAAATGCAGTAGGTAAGTGACATTTGTGTAACTTCATAGTGAAGAGGATAACACTGTGGAAATTTACAGTATGTTTACAGTTGCATATCATACTTCTTTACTTGGGCTGCAGCTTTCATTGGAAGTCCAAAGGAAGTCAGCAAAGAGGATCAGAAGTCTAGAAAATGTGAACAAAAGAAAATTTGAAAGAACGAGGTTTCTTTAGTCTGCTGAAGAGTACATTTAGGATTTAGATTCAAATCAATGACAGGTTGCTGCAAAGAGGAAAGAAATAAATTGTCCTGTTCATCTGTGGGGAATAGGACATGAATAATAATAGGTATAAATTGTAGGGAGGGAGATCCAGGTTAGACATTAAGGAAACCTTTTGAAATGTAAGGTTAGTGAAGGACAGGAGTTGATTGACTGGTTGTGAAGACTCTACTGGAGACTTTCAGAACCAGCTAAGCAAACACCTGTCAGAGGCACATTAGTGTTTCTTACTGGGAGCAGAGGGGTGGATGACGGCTTCTCGAGGTCCCTTCCCACCCTGGCTAGTCCAGGTCCTTTTTTATGCTGTGCAGGGACCCTGTGAGGTTAGAAACTCTGGATGGTAAAAGCTTCTTTACCTTAAACTGTTTCATGATTGTATTTCTTTCTTCATTCGTGTCAGGGTATAAAATAAAGATTTAATATATTTTTCACCAGCAAATCTTCTTCTAATAAGGGTGTCAAGAGAACAGTCAAATCTAAACAAGATTTGAATTTGACTTATGCAAATACAACACATCTATTTAATGATATTTTAAACCTGTTTTTTTGTTATTTTGCAGTTTTCTTTGTGAACATGCTGTGAATAAAGTATTTTTCTGTTAATTGAAAAAATGCATATTGTTATTCAGTAAAATTAGAAGAACCTTAGAAATTTATAGCTTAAGTTCCATTTGTGTTTAAAGAAGACCTGATGAAAACAATTACAATGGAGATTGCAAAATGCCCATCTGTGGGTTTTTTTTTTTTTTTGATACAGGATAAAGTCTGAGTCTACATTGCATCCCATCATTTCCCACATAAACTTAAATTTTTGTTCTTTAGAGAAAGTATTATTTACAGTAAAA